AGCCACTGCTGTCTAGCATAATACCTTCTGTTTAGTTGGTATGCGAAAGGGGACGTTGTGTAGTACGGTCGCATCTTGTCGAGCATCTCCATCCTCCCCTGCGGCCAGTGTTGAGGACCAGATAGCCCATCATTAAACTCAACAAACTGGTTGGATTCGGCATTGGCTTCAAGGCTGTCGGGAAGTCCATACGCCAAGAATATACTGGACCCGTTACCTCGCATCAGATTTGCTAGCTGCATAGCAAACTGTGGCCATAGGATGGGCGTGTACAGAATGGGGAAGACTGCATTAAGCCACAACGCATCATAATCTAGAATCCCGTGAATCGTGGTGTTGATATAGACGTTTGCGGGACTTTGCCTCAGACTCTGCAAAAAGCTGAGCACCTTATCTTGTAGCTCATCTTTTGAGTCCGCGAGAGATGCTAGAGCGCATGCGTCTCCTGCCTTGATACACTCATCCAAGAACGCAGCAAAGACATTCTCAGTGTCGATAAAGTCCGAGTAGAGAATAGGCGACTCGTACCACTCGAACTAGTTTCCCACCCCATCAATGATGACTCTGTTGGAACGCTCGGGATAAAGCGTTGCATATGTTTGACCCAAGATACTACCGTAACTGAACCCCTAGTATACCATAGAATCCTGGCCAAGCGCATCGAGAATGCTATTCATATCGGCTGCCGTCTGCGGGGTGTTGATGTATTTTCCATGTTCCCCCATTGTATTGGAGCAGGCTAGAACAAAATTCTTGGTCCAGGCAAACACCTCAGGGCTATCTCTTTCAACATCTTTGTCTCTGATGTTGGATAATCGTCTCCGAGTCTCCGGATCAGGATAGCATGAAGCAGTGGGCCGCGAAGATCCGACACCACGAGGGTCAAACGATACCAAATGAAAGCCCTCACCAACAATGGAGTTGAGAACTTCACCCCTGTCAACCGTGAAGTCTATTCCGCTATTGCCTGGACCGCCAAATTTGATGATCAGATTCTGTGTCGCATTCTTTCCTCGTAGTCGAATGAGTGGAATGCCAAACACCTTACCTCCGGAGTTCATGCTCTCAAATTGATCCATAGCGACGTCAATGCTACTGCATTCCAAGGAACGATCATCTATGGTACCGCATGGCTCCCATGATATGTGTTCTCCTGGGTAGGTTATTCCCTTTTCTCGAGGATAGAGGCGTTGAGAATGATTGGGTTTATGCTGCTGCTGCCGCGTGTGAATGTGAGAGAGAGAGCAGAATACTGTCGCTATCAATAAGCTAAACAGGATATGTTTGATCTTTTGTCTCATATACCAAAGCCGTACGTATTGGCTATTTGGGAACATCTCATCTATGGCTATTTATGTAGGCTCGTCATATGACAGTTGTATGTAATCATAGAATAAGAGAAGCTGGTGATGCATCTAGCAAGCAAGTAGGATATCATTTGTTCCCAAATATTTATACCAATGAAATATCCCACCTCTCAATTGAGGTTTTTAAATAGGACGGAAGACATTCGCACAGAGGAATCTAACCGTCTTATCTTGCACAGCCCGAACAAATTCGCGGCGCACGCTTCCCTCGGCAGCTGCTCCATTCGGCTATAATACAGCGAGGCCCTCATATGTATTCTGCTGTTTATGTAACAGTAATCTAGTCTGACCAGTTAGGAGGCGATTTCGGCCACATCACAAATTCAACAATGTCTTCCCAGCGTAGAGGCTCATCACCACTCATCCACCCCACGTAGTCGTCGTCTTCCGAGTCAAAGAGCGCCACAATGTCAGCTTCCGCTATATAAAAACCTTTTCTGGTCCTTTTTTCTACCCTGCCCTTTTTTCTCCTATCTGGTGTTGCCTCTTCCGCTGCCTTACCCTGGATTTCCTTTTGTTTCTTGCTCGCCCAAACCTTGAGATTTGCATCATCTTTCATGCACTGCAATACCAACTCCCGTGACGCAAAGACATCTTCGAGGCTGTCGTGAATTTTTTTGCCAGTGGGGCCATCTTCTCGTATCTTTAATCCAAGAATCCCGTTGCAAAGATTCTTGAGTCCCCACATGCGATAAGTAGTGTTCCATTCGCCAAATACAGCTTCGCTCGTGATGATCGCGGAGTCGACAATCTTTCGGTGAAAGGTTCTCAGTACATGAAGATCATGATGGAGTGATTGGCCGATGAGGATTGTGTCTCCGTCAATATAGTCCCAGAGGGCTGTCCGTGCTGCCTCCCAGCCCTTAAGGACCTCATTCCTCGCCACAGCAGCAGATATGATAGCAGCACTGATACCATGAATCCTGGTTCTCCATTGAACAATAGGTGCCGATGGCTCGACAAGAGAATCGATCAGAATTTCGCCCGTCAAGAAATCGACGACAGATAGCTTAATCAGCTCTCCAAAGCCACCCTGAATACCAGCCATTTCACAATCTAAAACCACTGCCTGCCGTTTTGTGCCATCTTTGGTCTTGCTAGGCGTAGGGAGGAACTTCGTAATGTCAAAAATGGGCTTTCTGCGATTTTCGGGATCCAAGCCCATTTCCCCATCGAGAATATAGCGTGCTTTTTGCAGACATGTGAGAGAATGGCACGATGATTCCATTTTCTGAATAATCACATGCTGTTCAAACGGTGGGATTAAAGTGTATGTATTGCCTCCATAAACCATGTGATAGGATAAGAATCCTCGGGCGCGACCAGTTGGAACATACGGATTTGTCGCGGCTTGCGATTGCGTGATTTCATCATCCTCATACTGCATTTGAGATGATGTGCTATCTTGTGGTGAAGCCCAAGATGGCGTTTCTGAGTCATGACTTGTCTGAAGAGTTAATGAAGGTGCCGACTGCAGAGTCACCTCCGGCTCTAGGTGAACAGGCGATGACTTATGGGCCGCGGCAGCGCCGCGGCTCCCGAACTTTCGAAAACATATTTGACAACATAATTCAGCGTCATGCCCCAGCAGAACACAGTGTTCCACAAGTGACTTGTTCGTATTAAAAGTCTGCTGGCACACGCTACATTGCGGTTTGGTAGTGGCCTGAGTAGGCTTGGCCACAGTATTTAGATGCGCCATCGATTCCGGTGTGAATATTGAGATATTACTTTGAGGGGGGGAACAGTCGAAATAATACAGTTGGCTATGGCCAAGGCGGGGTTCTGGCATTTATCTCAATCATCTCAGCAGGGGTATGGCAATCAAATCACGTCTTGAACTCTTGTCCCTAATGAGTACCAATGACGAGCGAGAATAGCATCGACTGCGTCCTGCAGACTACGTAAAATTTGCGGGGTTGTTGAGCATCACAAGGGCTATAAATGCTCACACTACAAATATATGGGCCATTCATTAAGGCAGTGTAATTATCCGTTGCAGCTTTGTTGAAATGAATGGCTATCAATGCCCTGTGATCCATGCATGCGGGACTTCGACGGCCTGCTCGGTTCATTAATTGGCCGCAGGGTGCACTCTCAACCTAGACATGTAAAGAGTTCAAGCGAGAACCGAAACGCTGTATAAATATTGATGAAGATAAGAGGCAGGGGGTACTGTCAAACTCCACTTGTATGTATGCAAGTAAACTAAAGTTGATTCATCATATAACACAAATGATATTCTTGATAATAGTACCCTTACCAGGATAATATTTTACCCTGCTCAGTCACAAACTGGCCGGCATACTTTTCTTTTGAGGCCTCATCAATGACTCTAACCATGCCTGTAACGCTCTCCTCAACCGTGACTGGAGCTGGGCCAATATTCCACAGACCAGCAGTTTGATGGCCCATATCAGTCTGAGCCCAGCCCGGGTGCAAGGCCACAGCAATAAGTCCACTCACCCCGTGTTCGATGTGTAGAGCTCGCGTGAGCCAATTGAGTGCTGCCTTGCTTGGACCGTAGGCACCGCCCGAGAGCGGCTCCTGGATGCTGATACCTCCCAGGGAAGACGTCACATTAATCAGCTTGGGATTCGACGCTGATTTCTGCAGCAGTGGCCAGAAAGCCTGGAAGACAAGCAGCGGGCCAATTGTATTAACCTCAAACGACATGCGAAGATCGTCTGCGGTTACTTCCAAAGCCGGATTGAGGTTGTTGCAAACGCCAGCATTGTTGATGAGGACGTCAATATGATCAACGGAGCTGCCTACTTCAGCATCAAAGATCTGGCGGATTTTCTCTGGCGCTATGGCAGTGGAAAAATCGAGCAGAATGACGTGGAGAACACTGTTCTCTCCGAGGGTAATTTTCTCGGCCTTGAGAGTCGCCGCAGCCTCGGCACTGCGAACTGACGCAATGACAGTCGTTAAAGATCGGGCAAGAAAGGACCTAACGAGACCCAAGCCGAGGCCTCTATTGCCGCCCGTGACGAGGTAAACAGTATTGCCAGTCATTTTCAGTCAATATATCTAGAAGTGAATCAGTGACTTATCAACACCTTTGTATCGGATGGGTTTAATACACGTTTTGAGATGCACTCTTTATCAATGGGTCTCACATCAAGGGTCAAACAGGTTTACAGAAGAAACGGTGGCATTTATAAGTAAAAGCAAAATAGGAAGATGCCGACGGCGATTGAAGAGCAGACCCGGTTTAATACGACCTGCTACTACAATCAAGAATGAAGGAATGGCTTAATAATTAGCGCACACGAGATTCTATCTGTACAGGTAGCTATTGATATAATAAGAAATCCAAGAATATGCACTAGAACGAACTGCAGTATCCGTGTGGACATCCATTCCCACCAAATCAGAATATGAAGATGCCTAGCTGAGATGATTCCATATTGACATCAAACTCTGCGTCGCGCTGCTTCACCTGGATGAACCCCGCCATGTTAACTCATTGCCAGGCTCCCAATACAAATTACAGCTTATTATGATCATATGAGCTGTACAGTGGTCGATAAAAAACAAGAGATCTACCTTAGGAGTGCGAATAGAAGGTGTATGTATGTATGTATATATAATAGCCGTTGTTAAAAAGGCAACGAATACGCAAAAAAATGGACAAACGGGGAATTGAACCCCGGACCTCTCCCAAGCAGATCCAATCCAATTACTTGGTGGAAATATGCTAAGGGAAAATCATACCACTAGACCATTCGCCCTGTTCTAATTGATGCAGATTTCGCATCGTAGTAAGATTGTGAAGGTAGAACTTCTAGAACAGTTTCCCGCAAGGCTATAACGTAACGACTGGAACTAATATTCTTGTTCTGGGAGGTGTATGTGCAGTGCTTATATTCTTGCGGATGTCTCCGGAGTGGTATCTTATGATTAAAACAGATGCTGCAGCAATGTATGGGGCTATGATGAATTTGCACTGAGCTCCAAGAGAGCTACTCTAAGTCGATATATGAGGTATGTAATTGTTACATCAATTCGCAGGAAGCTCACAATAGGTATGTAATTTAATAAAGAGTCTAAAACTACGAATAACCTCCTCTTCTAATTACTAGATTTGTGTATGTGGCCGGCTGCTGGTAATGTTTGTCATAAATTAATGGTCAGTCTTTAGGGTAGGCCGTTAAATGTCGCTGCCAGAAATTTGGTGCAGACTTCTCTTCGCAATGGTTGTGAGATCTTACCGTCTTGCAGAACATTTGATAGGCAGTTAAGTACCATAAATTACTATCGAAGGAATGCTTTCATTGTTATTTTTATTCAATTTTTATGTTGGATCGCTCTGGTACACTGGTAACACCCACATGTCTTCGCTAATCCGTTGCAGAGCACAGTCAGGATCTGTCCGACAACAGTAGATGCCTTCTTTCCGTGACAAAAAAAGAAAAATGTATTGTGCAGTGGTAATTAACCCCTATAGATTGTTATACTCTCTTAGATAAAATATTAGAAAATTAATAATATATCCTCTGCTCCGAATCCAAATTCAGATCTTGGGTTCCCTGTCTAAGACGTAGTGTGCAGGGCAGGTTAAGCATATTCAGGTTGTTTTCCATGACAACAATCTTAGTGACAAGGAATTCTCGGAAGATTCGGCAGTCTGATCACACGCTACTAATCTTGTGCTGCAGAAATTGCCCGGGGTTGTGACTTATGGCATCCACTGGGTGAGTTGTGCATCAAGTCTGCCTTATCGCCTCCTGCAGCTGGCCGACACCATTATGGCCTCCCAGCCATCATGTTTTTACGGTATCAATGTATTTTCTAATCAGACGTGGAAACTGAACCGGCGCAAACCCTCGTCCTAATAGGGATAGCTGGTAAAGAGTGTGGGTGCAAGGGATGCGAGCAGGTAACAGAGGAGTCGAAATTGATGGATAGTTTCGAGGCTATTAATATCTTTGTTGTGGTACCGCCCAAAGTGGCCCGTTTGAGTATTGTATCGTCCTCATAAGCACTGAATCTAGGACGCGGAAGGCGCGCAAATTTACGCAAATGACCATACGGAGTAGAGCCCTCCGCCTTAACTGGGAATAGAAGAATGCCCGTGGAGTACGGACAAGGCCAGCAATTTGACTGGCGTATCCCGGAACGAGCCGAGATCCTTCAGGCGGTTATTGGACGGATATAAACAATGAGGCGCTTTCAATTCCGCGATCATTCTACGCCATTTCTACAGGTCTAATATGAACATATATATACTAATAAAGCGCTCGCTAGGGACTGGTGATCACTGATTTGGAAACTTGTTAGAACGGTATCCTCTTGACGATCATTTTCCATAACGCACTCACTTATCTGAGCAAAAGAAGTTTATTTTGCTCGTCCACGTGGTGGGTGAGGTGAGTCTCAGAATTTTTTTTTCGCAAGCTGAGCAGCGCGGAATTCGGATCGCGCGGCAAGCCATGAACCTAATGGATTCCCTCTTTGGGCTCGTGGGATTCATTTTACTGCCTCCGAAGGGTCCACCTGTTGGACCTGCTCGACTTCAGCTGGTGTAGGTGGTACAGTGCAAGGCAGACTCATAAGGTCCCACATGGTGTAGGTCCAGTTGAAGGAAGGGGAATTTAAATAGGCGAGGCCTGTCTACCCAACACGACGTCTGCCTTCTATAGCTTAATACACTACCATCTTGTTGCTCAACCTTGAAGACGTTATATGATGCTCAAGCCTGTTATTGCTCTTCTCTCAACAGCGCTGCTCGCCGCAGCTGCCTCAAATCCACTGACAAGCACCGGCTGCGCCGACCCTTCTGGTTTACAAACCTGCCAGAACGCGGCGAATCAGAAGACCAGCGCGTGTATAGCCCAGGCAAACAAAGACGGCAGCCAACAAGAAATCCTCGCTTGTGGATGTCAGGATTACGTTAACAACTTCAACTGCTACGCAACCCACTGCTGGAACCGAGTCTGGGAATGCGAGTATCAAGAGTACATCATCTCATACCTCACCAACTGTCCCATAGGAAAGCTGCCTGTCCCATACTTTCCAGCTCCCGATAACGCCGCCGATGCTTGCTCGTGCAATCTGGGCAAGGTCTTCCTCGCCGTTCAGGACAGCATCCTGGAAGCTGCGGCGTGCACCAACAACGCCAACGGTCCAGATCCTGGCACCAATTTACAGGTAATTGAGGGATGCAACTGTTGTGAAATCAGCGGCGGGCTGTCTAGGTAAACAGGAACTCGATTCAGTTCATCTTATATATGAGGCGACTTGATTCTAACGTGCTACCGTTCTAGTCTGTTTGAGATATGTCCCAAGACGGATCCCAAGATCATCGGATTGTCCAACATTTCTCAGCGCTCACAGGAGCTCAGCGTCGACTTTAGCAAGTGCGGGTCTTACATGTCCCAGTACAATTGTATTAATGATCTTCATTACTCCGTTACCGGTGTCAGCACCTTTTATGCTCCAGACGATCCTGTCACAACCGGTACTGAAACATTGAGCAACGTTCCTGGAACAGTCACCGCACCACCCAGTGGCGCTGTGTTCTCATACACCAACGGCGGCGACAAGGCGGTATATACCATTTCGGCCGCTGGTGTGAAGAAAGGAGGCAAGGATTCTGGGCCGACTCCTGCTGTTTCTGAGAATAATGGTGACGCAACAGAAAGTGGAAACGCCAAAGAAACAGGATCTTCAAAGAATGAAGGCGCGGCTTTGGAGGTGGGCAAGTACTTTGTAGCAATTGCCGTGTCTGTGTCCATTTTCGCTTTCTAATAGTTATGAGCATACAAGCATATTAATTACGCCATTGTTCATAAGGTTCAAGGGTTGGGTACACCTTCGGGGAAGCTATCCTTGCATCGCGACATTGGGGAGAGAGAGTCATCATTGATGTATACTTGATTCTGATCTGAGTGGTAGAGTTGAACTTTTACATGACGCTTGAGGATATATTTTACGCAAAACTCTTGCCTAGATTCTGCCCATCCCCCTGACTAAACTCCATAGGCCGCCCTGTGTGCTAGCCTTGCAAACTTAGAAAAACTACCAACTAGGTCGTTCCAGCAGATTTTTCATTCCAAAGAATGAAGATCTCTGCTGTTTTAGTGGCGGTTTCTTTCCGTCACTATTTGGTTGAGTCCCCGCAGCCTCGCCAGGCTTCTGCTCTTGAGGTTGACTACCGTAGTAGGGCTGAAACTGCTGGCTATGGCGGTGACCTAGATATGGCTGCTGACGGGCTTGAGCTGTGTTTAGAGGTGGGGGATATCCAGAACCACTATATGCTGCCGCATTGTCCTTTTGGTAGGCGGAGAATCGTTTGCCACCTTGGTAACCGGCTGCGTCGCCACCATAACTCGAACCGTCATAGAGTGGTGCGTTCTGATATTGCGGCTGTTGTTGGGTCGGGGTGGCCTGCTGGCCTGTATACGGGGTATACTGTTGCGGGGCTTGAGACGGTGGGAAGTGGGAAGGTAATTCCGATAGTGAATCCTCCGGTGACGGATGATAAGCCTGGAATTGTGATGTGCCTACACTGCTTTGGTAAGTACTTGTATCAGAGTTAAAGCTTTGGAAGCTGCTGCTTGATTGACGTGCCAAGCTTGGCGATGACTGTTGAGAAAATTGGGAACCTTGTCCAAAGGAGTCAACTCTCGGTGCAGGCTTCCTCTTGATTGGGTCAGGTGGAGGTGCTTCGACCCTTTCTTCGTGCACCTCGTGGGACGCATCCGTTGATCCTCCCAGCTGAAGTGCCTCTGGCGCCTGCGATTGCCAGCTCGGAAGACGTTGAGCGGTGGGCCTCACAATTTGCATAGTAGGATGTTCGAGGTCATCTGGTGGCGAGAGTTCAGTAACCGACATAACCCGGCTTCCCAATCCCAGCTCTACCTCATCAGTCATCTTTTCATCATAGTGCTCGGCGATATTCTCATTGACATTCTCAGCATGGTCTGCGGCTGTTTGTTCAGACGCTTCATCGTTCCCAATCGACGCATTTTCCGTGGCTTCATCATCGCCTTCCGATTCGGGTTCTGGAGATTGGACTTGATCTGTTCGTGCGAAATGGCCATGTTCGTCTATGATATCGTAGGACACGCTCTTGAAACGAACGGTAGCGGGCTTATCATCGTAAACTAGCGATTGCCTTCTTACGTCTGCCGTTCGAACCACGTTGGCGACAATGTAATTGCCTGAATCCATGGCTTTCTTGATTGTGTTGAGAAGCACAGAAACGCGATCGACCAGAAGACCCACGCACTGATACTGTTCACTGTGAAACGCGCTTTGAAGCGCATTCATGTCACTCTTACTCGAGTGTAAAAGATCGGCGCCATTGTCGATTAAAAATGACACAGCTTCCACTTCTCCACGTCTCGCAGCCACTATGAGGGCTGATTCACCCTCATTATTGGGGAGGTTGATATCTGCTCCTGCATCTAGAAGCAGTTGGAGAGAGGCCTTGGGCAAATACGCCGCTGCGTTAATCAGAGGTGTAGATAGGTCGGGACCACCAAAGACATTAAGATCTGCCTTTGCCTTTACCAACATTTCGAGGATTTCCTCTTCGCCTCGCATCGCCGCAGCGACGAGGGGTGGTGCGTCTGGCCCGGCACCCAGATTGGGGTTGACTTGATGATCTAGGAGCAACGAGACGATATTGGATTTGCCCGACTCACAGGCTCCTTGCAGCGCAGTGCCGGGCTTGAAATATTCATTGTAGGTGCACGCATTTACATCGGCACCCCGTTTGATGAGC